GTATGTGGGGGGGGCGCGGGGTTGATGGTCGGGGGAGGTGGGGGCCGTGTCCCGTGTGAGTTGTAGTCATCTGAGTGACGCGTGGCAGGACCTCCGGGTCAGGGTTGCCGGCGGAAGGGCAGGGGGACGTCTGCCTCGCTGGCCCCAGCTGATGCGCTAGCGTGGGCGGAAGTCCCATCCCTGCTGCTGGGCGCCTGGCCCTGTCTACGCCACGTGCTGCTGCTCTGTTCCCGGCCAAGCACTGCCCTGCCCGGCCCCCTGTGCCGCGTGCGGCCGGCGGCCCGGCCATCACCGGTGGCTCTGCCCCCCTTGCCCCTTTCCCCTCGCCCCTCTCCCTGTCCCCGCAGAAACGGTCGTGTCTGTCGGGACCGCGCTGCCGGGGTTGCTGCGCGCGATACAGCCCAGAGTGTAACCACTGCAATGTATGGGTTACACATTCGGGGGCCGCGTGCCAACGCGCTGTAATCCCGGGTGTGTGGCTGGTGTTATTGGGCGGGGGGTGGAGGGCATGTGGGGTAGGGCGTGCGGGGCCAGCGCGTGTGTCGGGGATGTCACGAGTGGTATTGGGTGGGTGCTGTAGGGTCGAGTCTAGATGCGACGTGCAGCTGAGACGGTGGGGTGCAAGTCTCCATGCGGTGCAGTCCTGGTTGTGGCCGAGTGACGGTGGAGGTCTGGTGGTGGTCTGTTGGCTGGTGTGCGCTGGCTGCCCGCCACTTACGTGCCGGGTTATGGAGCTGCAACAGTAGACATGCAGCAGGCACTTGAACAATCACCTGGAAGCCCAGGAAAGCGGCCGGCAGGCCTTGCCCATGGTTGTCCGTCTGCCATTTCACTCTTCGCCCAAATGAGCGCAAGGAGCTCATTCATGTTCGACTCGCGCAATTCAATTGTGTGCGCCACTACAGTTTACGTCATCCTTGTCACCATACGTACGTACTCGCTCGTGATCTTTGCCAGTGTGCGTGCGAAGGTGGAGTCGGCGGCCTGTTCAGACACGATGAGATCCCTTTGAATTTCTTTATCATTGGCAGGTCGCCGCCCCACCAGCGACGTAGCTGGGTTGCAGTTGCCTGCACCTTCAGGCTTCGGCAAGCTGTGCACAGCTCTGGCCCTTCCGGTGACACCATAGTACGGCCTGTGGGCAGAAGACAGCACACGTGAGTGGCGCACACATAGGTACACCCCTGGGCCCCCTCGAAGCTTCGAGCAGCTCGTCGGGGCCTTCTCCACCACCCTGCCCGTTTGTTGCGCTGCAAGGTGTCTCCAAAGGCGGCTGAGACTAAGGAGTTATTTTATTCTGCTGCCAGGTAAGGTCACAGACCGCGTCCTGGATGTCGGGGCGGTGCTGGCGCCGCCGCCTTCGCTGTCCGCTCCGCCCCTGATGAAGCCATGCCGCGCACTGGTTTCAGTTGACATGCGTCTCCGATGTCCTTTCATGGATGTTCCCTGCTGCAGGAGCCCTCCAACAGCAACTCCCTGTCTCATCAGCCCCTGTGGCAGCGTTGCTCACGGCTTGGCCACCTCGTCACAGCCCCGGCAGTCCCTGCGGCGGGTCGCGATGGCAACCGGTGTCAAGCAGGCGATCGCGAGAGTCGAGCAGGAGGTCACACAAGTCCGGGAGGAGATTGCCGGACTCAAGGCTGGACTGAAGGTGGAAGAGGACTGTAAAGAGCGTAAGCTCATGCAGCAGCAGCAGCTGGCAGCACTGCAACAGCAGCTGGGAGGACTGCACCAGCAGCTGGGAGGACTGCAGCAGCAGCTGGCAGGACTGCAGCAGCAGCAGCCAGGTGCGGCTGGGTCGCGCGCGTGGCGTACGCAGGGCATCGACACTAGCACATGACATGCCGAGCACAGCGTGAGCGCAGCAGGGTGTGGTTGGTGTTGCACAACAGTGTCAATCAACCGCTGCTGGGGGAGCCCGCTTCACATGCCGTCCTCTCGACTCACGCTCAAACCCAACGTGGCTCGTTGCCACTCACAGGTGGCAACTGGCTGGTCAAGGCCTTATTTTTCTGACACGCTCACTGTGCAGGCGCCCGTAGGCGTTTTCATGTGAAGCTGCTTCGCCTTGCAATGTTCACCTTGTACATCTGGCTGGTCGCCCGGGTGCCAGCGCCCTCATCCGCTTTCTGGCACTTGTTTGATGCAGTCCCCGGGTGCCGTAGGTGGGTGCAGCGGCAGCCGCAGCAGCAGGGACGGCAACAGCACGAGCAGCAGCAGCGGCAGCAGCAGCAGCAGCAGCAGCAGCAGCAGCAGCAGCACCTTCTGTGTGGGTAAGCAGCTGTGTTACAGCGTGGCTGCGCAGTAGGCAGCGCCTGCACCTCCGGCTCTCAGTGCAGTCCCTTTGTCACGCAACGCTTTGATGCAATTGGAAGATGACGTGTTTGCCCCCCCCCCCTTTGAGCATTGCACGGCTCTGACAGTGCGGCATGATGTGCAGCTTTAATGTCGCCTCACTGGCCCCCCTTGCTTTGTGCTTAGGCGCCACGGTGGGCAGCTGCCATCGGCGCCCCTGTATGACCCAGGCAGGCGCATGGGCACAGGGTTCAGGAAAGGCTTGGGGCGCGGGCTGCGCTCGCCTGACGAAGCCGTTGTGCCGCTCAGTGGCGCGCCGGCGTCCAAGCTCTTGGCATGCGCATTGGCGCCGAGGGGGGGCAGTTGCTTTGGATTACGCATGACGCTTGCTGTGCAACTACTGACGTGTTTTGCGTTTGCGGCGTAATGTTTTCGGATTCAAATTTCAACCCCATAAGCGTGGATGGCTTCAGAAGCGGGCAACAGTGGGTTGGTGACAGTAGTCTTATCCAGAATCCTGAAGGTGCGGGACGGCAAACGCACTGCCTTCCCGCCTGGCCCAGGATCGCTGCTTGCCCTGTGCACAACTTTGCAGCACTACCACGTGCCTATTCCTCTGTCCCCTTGCTCGGCCCATCCTACAGCACATTCATGAGCATTTGAGCATGAGTCAGTTGTCAGAAAAAGCACCCAAATGACAACGCATTTTTGCCAAGGCAGGGGCATCAAGCAGCAGCAGCACCCCACAATTCTAGCATGTTACAACACGGCACTGCCAACGCGACACAGCAGCTGGGCGCGCGGGGCGCAGCTATCAACGGGGCACACACGAGGACGAACACCTGCACACAAACAGCATGCCAGGGGCGCGCGAAGCCGCTGTCTCCTGCCAAAACGCAGCGCACCATCCCCACGTAGCGAGCGCGGCGAGAGCACTCCCCAGGGCCGATGGCTGCGCCGAGAAGCGCCCGGGGAACACGCGCGAACTGCGGCCGCGTCACGGGCAGGGGCTCTGCAGAGCGCACGGCACAACCCCCGCAAACAAGTGAGCTCGGCCAGCAGCCCGCGCCACGCACCAGCCCCCCACAACGCCCGCGCGCAGGCGCACCGCCAAAGCAACTTACACACCCCATCGCCCCACCCTTCCCCAGCCACCCGTATCCCCCCCTCCTCTGCCGTGCGACCCATCTATGTCAGCTACCCCACCACCCCAGCACAGCCCTAGGTCTCATCTGACCAGATCAGATCAGATCAGATCGCGTGCGCCGCCTCGGCCTGCACCAGCCCGCCGATCAGGTCCTCGACAGACGGGTCGGTGCGCGCCGCGCTCGGGCGCTCTGATGAGGGGGGGGGGGCA